TTTGAAGCTTTCTTGGGGGCCTTTTGGAGCGTCTTGAGGCGATCTCGGGGGCTTTGAAACTGGCTTGAAAGCTGATGATATCTGGAAGGCGAATATGCTAAATTTGTAAGTTTTACGGAGGAACGGGACGTTTTTTGTGGTTTGAAGGCCCCTTGGAAAGCTTTTTGGGGTGCCTTGGGGGTCTTTATGTTGGCATTCGGAAACATCGTGGGGGTGTTTTCGGGGCCCTCGTAGGCCGTTTTGGCGCCTTCATGGGCCGTCCTGGGGCCTTCTTGGGCCGTCTTGGGGAGCTTGGGCCCGATGGAGCCCCCTTTGGACCCATCTTGGGCACTTCCGGGGACCTCCCATGGCCCTTTTGGGTCTGTGCTGTGAGCCCTTGGGGGGCCTCTTGGTTCCATTATGGGCTGTCTTGGGGCTCTCGTGGGCGATCGTGGGGCCCGGCTCGGCCGTCTTGAAGCTTTCTTGGGGGCCTTTTGGGGCTCTGTGCTGGGAGCCCTTGGGGGGCCTCTTGGTTCCATTGTGGGCTGTCTTGAGGCTCTCGTGGGCGATCGTGGGGCCCCGCTCGGCCGTTTTGAAGCTTTCTTGGGGGCCTCTTGGAGCGTCTTGAGGCGATCTCGGGGGCTTTGAAACCGGCTTGAAAGCTGATGAGATCTGAAAGGCGGATATGCTAAATTTGTAAGTTTTACGAGGGGAACGGGACGATTTTTGTGGTTTGAAGGCCCCTTGGAGAGCTTCTTGGGGTGCCTTGGGGGTCTTTGTGTTGGCATTCGGAAACATCGTGGAGGTGTTTTCGGGGCCTCGTGGGCCGTTTTGGCGCCTTCATGGGCCGTCCTGGGGCCTTCTTGGGCCGTCTTGGGGAGCTTGGGCCCGATGGAGCCCCCTTTGGACCCATCTTGGGCACTTCCGGGGACCTCCCATGGCCCTTTTGGGTCTGTGCTGGGAGCCCTTGGGGGGCCTCTTGGTTCCATTATGGGCTGTCTTGGGGCTCTCGTGGGCGATCGTGGGGCCCGGCTCGGCCGTCTTGAAGCTTTCTTGGGGGCCTTTTGGGGCTCTGTGCTGGGAGCCCTTGGGGGGGCCTCTTGGTTCCATTGTGGGCTGTCTTGAGGCTCTCGTGGGCAATCGTGGGGCCCGACTCGGCCGTCTTGACGCTTTCTTGGTGGCCTCTTGGAGCGTCTTGAGGCGATCTCGGAGGCTTTGAAACCGTCTTGGAAGCTGATGAGATCCGAAAGGCGAATATGCTAAAATTGTAAGTTTAAGAAGGGAATGGGACGATTTTTGTGGTTTGAAGGCCCCTTGGAAAGCTTTTTGGGGTGCCTTGGGGGTCTTTGTGTTGGCATTCGGAAACATTGTGGGGGTGTTTTCGGGGCCCTCGTGGGCCGTTTTGGCGCCTTCATGGGCCGTCCTGGGGCCTTCTTGGGTTGGGGAGCTTGGGCCCGATGGAGCCCCCTTTGGACCCATCTTGGGCACTTCCGGGGACCTCCCATGGCCGTTTTGGGTCTGTGCTGGGAGCCCTTGGGGGGCCTCTTGGTTCCATTATGGGCTGTCTTGGGGCTCTCGTGGGCGATCGTGGGGCCCGACTCGGCCGTCTTGACGCTTTCTTGGGGGCCTTTTGGGGCGTCTTGAGGCGATCTCGGGGGCTTTGAAACCGTCTTGAAAGCTGATGAGATCCGAAAGGCGAATATGCTAAAATTGTAAGTTTTACGAGGGAAATGGGACGATTTTTGTGTTTTGAAGGCCCCTTGGAAAGCTTTTTGGGGTGCCTTGGGGGTCTTTATGTTGGCATTCGGAAACGTCGTGGGGGTGTTTTCGGGGCCCTCGTGGGCCGTTTTGGCGCCTTCATGGGCCGTCCTGGGGCCTTCTTGGGCCGTCTTGGGGAGCTTGGGCCCGCTGGAGCCCCCTTTGGACCCATTTTGGGACGATTTTTGTGTCTTGAAGGCCCCTTGGAAAGCTTTTTGGGGTGCCTTGGGGGTCTTTCGGACCGTCCTGACGCAATTGGAGTCCCTCTTGGAGCGCTCTTGTGCTGTCTGGGGCCTCACTTGAGCCTTTCTGATGACCCCTCGGATCGCTCTGGGTCTGCTGGGAAGGCGTTTGTGGAGACCCGGAAAGCCGGGTGACCTTTTCCACCAAGGACTTCCAAGGGAGCCCGAGAACCCCAGATCCCGGGGGTCCAGTTTTTGGGGGTGGGGGGGTGATGGTTCCCCCCCCCCGGGCTTGTAAAAATATAGGAAGAGGAATAACATGACCGAAGCGCGTAAACAAAACCTTGATCCACATTCCTCCCCAGACCCTCGACGTTTCTTTGCTTCTTTTTTCTGGGGGGGGGGTGTATTGTCAGAGCCCCAGACGTCTCGACCCCTGCCACGAGACCGGTTTCTCATCCCAGGTCGTTCTGGACCGTTCCGCGGCCCAAGCAGGGCCCCCCAGAAGCCGAAAGCGGTCCAAAAACGTTTCGCCGTGACTTGTGTTCTCGGCGCGAAGGGGGTCTGGACATGCGCCCCCGCCCCTCCCCCCCACCCCTGGGGATCGACCTTCAGACGGCCGCGCGGTGCCGTTTTGTGTTTTCCCGCTCCAGCCTCGCTCTGCTCCTCCCCTTCTCCTCCTCCTCCTCCTCCTCCTCCTCTTCCTCCTCCTCCTCCCCTTCCTCCTCCTCCTCCTCCTCCGCCTCCTCCTCCTCCACCTCCTCTTCCTCCTCGCTTCCTCTTCCTCCTCCTCCTCGCTTCCTCCTCCTCCTCCTCCTTCTCCTCCTCCTCCTCCCCTTCCTCCTCCTCTCCTTCCTCCTCCTCCTCCTCCTCCACCTCCTCCTCCTCCTCGCTTCCTCCGCCTCCTCCTCCTCCTCGCTCCCTCTTCCTCCTCCTCCTCCTCTTCCTCCTCCTCCTCCTCCTCCTCCTCCTCCTCTGCAGCAGCATTCCGGCCCGTCCGCGCGCATTCTGGCTCTCGTTGAACTCGGTGAACTTCACCCCGAGCCCCTCGATCCAGCCCGTGAGCCGAACGGCCGCCGCAAGGTGCTTGCGCGCCTTCGGCAGCCTGTCGCAGTCCGCTGGGGCGCCCCCCCCCCCAGCGGGGGGGGCGCCCGCCCGAGGGGGCGTGTGGGGGGCAGAGCACGGGCAGAGGCCCCTGCCACGGGGCAGGGCGAGGGTGGGGAGGCTGCTTGTTCTTGTAAGACGATCCCAGGATGGGGAGGGGGCAGGAGGGAGGAGGGGAGGGAGGGCGAGGAACGGAGATGAGCGGGAGGACAGGGTTCCTCTTCTCCCCCTCATCCTCGGTCGGGATCGTGTCTCTATGTCTCCTCCCTCCTCTGCGAGAGTGGGCAGACTCAGGAGGAGGATGCTGCGGCTGCTGATGCTGATGATGCTGCTGCTGATGATGATGAGGACGAGGATGAGTAGGATGATGACGATGATGATGCTGATGATGATTATGGTGATGGCGATGATGATGGTGATGATGATGATGACGATGATGATGATGATGATGATGATGATGATGATGGTGATGGTGATGGTGATAGTGATGGTGATGGTGATGATGGCGATGATGATGCTGCTGCTGCTGCTGCTCCTGATGATGATGCTGATACTGATACTGATGCTGCTCATGATGATGATGATGATGATGATGATGAGGATGATGAGGATGATGAGGATGATGACGATGATGAGGATGCTGATGCTGATGCTGATGCTGATGCTGATGCTGATGCTGATGATGATGATGATGATGATGATGATGATGATGATGATGATGATGACGAGGAAGAGGAAGAGGAAGAGGAGGAGGAGGAGGAGGAGGAGGAGGAGGAGGAGGAGGAGGAGGAGGAGGAGGAGGAGGAGGAGGAGGAGGAGGAGGAGGAGGAAGAGAGATGTTGTTACTCTCCGTATTTTCTGGGCCTCGGGCGGGCCTCGTCGCCACATTTGGATTCCCCGCGAACTCCTGGCCGGAGCGCACCATGAGAGGTCTGGGAACCGGTGCTGAGGAGGGCCCCAGACGTCCCGCGTCGCGAAGGTCAGATCACGATGGGGTGTGGCCTCGCGATCTCGGCGACCGTGGGGCACCTCTCGGGCCCCAGAACGGACCTACAGCTCGGAAGTGTCCGCAGCTTGTTTGGTGCTTCTTGCAAACTTCCTATCTGGAGCTCACGCTCTTCAGCAGCTGCGCCGCGCTGAGAGTCTTCTGGAAACGCCAGAGTCTTCCCGAACGGTCTGCTTGGCCAAGGCGGTCCAGCTTACCCCCTGAAAGCTCAGAGATCGGGCGTCGCGAAAAGAACACGACGAGTAGCATTTCGTCGCAATCTCGGCGTCATTGGGCCCATCACGGGCCCCTGGACTGTCCAAAGACGGCCCACAGCGAAGAACCAGTCCCTGGGGATGGATGGGGTCGAGGCCCCCACAAACCCCCACGTCTTGCGAAACCACCTCGTCGGAGCTCTGGGATAGGAGAAGAGCCGGCCAGTTACTTCTTGGTGAGAGGCCTCGGAAGGGAATCGCTTCACCGATCGCAGTGCCTGGCGTCGCGGGCTCCCGATCGCAAGCCGGAGGCATGCTGGTCATACAGATCAGACAGAAATCATCACCTGCCGCCCGCACGCGGATCACTCACGCATCAGGAGCGACCGCGAAAACATAATGCATAATATCACGAGATCGGCCACCACACTATCTACAAATCCTTGGGGAGCGATCGCCGGCAGCACCACCAGCGGACGCCAACCTGCAGACTCAGTAGATCGAATCGGACCTGCAAGTGCACGCCTCTGGGGTCGCTGCAGGCGGGCGCCGTGGCGCCAGGGTGTGGAACAAGAGCGGCACTATGGAAATAAGCATCAACTATGGACTTCCCAATCATCACCCCTAGCATGTTTCAAAAGAAGAGCAGGCTTCAAAAGGCAGAGACTTAGTGGAGCAAGTTTCAAAAGGCCACGTCCATGTTACTTTAGGCAGTGCTCGTCTGCGTGAAGACTCAACTGTGACGAAATCAGATCTTCTACACGTGCCACTTTTTCCCAACCATCCTGTGGTGTTGGGTCCTCGTTTTGAGGAGACAGCGCCCAGCGTTCACTCCTCCTCCTCCCGCTGCCCCCTCCCTCCTCCCTCCTCCCCCTCCTTGCCTCTGCTCTCGGCACACCTCTCGCACGTTTCGTAGCCCCATAGGGAGCTCCACCGAAGGCCCCAGTGGCTGCTCTCGCATGCGTTTCCCCACCCTGGGCAGCGTTTCGTGGCCCCATAGGGAGCTCCACCGAAGGCCCCAGTGGTTGCTCTCGCATGCGTTTCCCCCACCCTGGGCAGCGTTTCGTGGCCCCATAGGGAGCTCCACCGAAGGCCTCAGTGGTTGCTCTCGCATTCGTTTCCCCCACCCTGGGCAGCGTTTCGTGGCCCCATAGGGAGCTCCACCGAAGGCCCCAGTGGTTGCTCTCGCATTCGTTTCCCCCACCCTGGGCAGCGTTTCGTGGCCCCATAGGGAGCTCCACCGAAGGCCCAATGGTTGCTCTCGCATGCGTTTCCCCCACCCTGGGCAGCGTTTCGTGGCCCCATAGGGAGCTCCACCGAAGGCCCCAGTGGTTGCTCTCGCATTCGTTTCCCCCGCCCTGGGCAGCGTTTCGTGGCCCCATAGGGAGCTCCACCGAATGCCCCAGTGGTTGCTCTCGCATGCGTTTCCCCCACCCTGGGCAGCGTTTCGTGGCCCCATAGGGAGCTCCACCGAAGGCCTCAATGGTTGCTCTCGCATGCGTTTCCCCCACCCTGGGCAGCGTTTCGTGGCCCCATAGGGAGCTCCACCGAAAGCCCCAGTGGTTGCTCTCGCATGCGTTTCCCACACCCTGGGCAACGTTTCGTAGCCCCATAGGGAGCTCCACCGAAGGCCCCAGTGGTTGCTCTCGCATGCGTTTCCCCCATCCTGGGCAGCATTTCGTGGCCCCACAGGGAGCTCCACCGAAGGCCCCAGTGGTTGCTCTCGCATGCGTTTCCCCCGCCCTGGGTAGCGCTTCGTAGCCCCATAGGGAGCTCCACCGACGGCCCCAGTGGTTGCTCTCGCATGCGTTTCCCCCCACCCAGGGCAGCGTTTCGTAGCCACATAGGGAGCTCCACCGAAGGCCCCAATGGCTGCTCTCGCATGCGTTTCCCCCACACAAGGCAGCGTTGGAGCCGCACCGGAAGCGGCACCCACAAGGCATTACGCACAATTGCTTATGGTTGGGTCCTTCGCCAAGATAATTTATTCTCTTGCACAGAGTGTCTAGAGCTCCGACCAGTTTATTCCGCGTCGCCCCCCCCCCCCCCCTCCGCCGCGTCCCCAGCGCCAGAGTGGCACCCCCGCGCCGTGGCTTTCTGCCCCGAGCCCCCCCGCGTTCCCAGCGCCCCAGCGGGGGCCCCGCCCACTGCCCCTTCCGCCACGAACGCTTTATTCAGCGTCGCGACGCACACCACCTCCACCTCCCTCCCCGCGTCCCCAGCGCCCCAGTGGGGGCTCCGTCCCGTGCCCCTTCCGCGCCGACAACTTTATTCCGCGTCGCGACGCACGCCACCTCCCCCCCCTCCCCCCCCGTCCCCAGCGCCCCAGTTGGACCCCCGCCCCGTGGCCCTCTGCCCCAAGCCCCGCCCAGTGCCCCCTCCGCCCTGACCATTTTATTCCGCGCCGCGACGCACACCTCCCCCCCCCCCCCCTCCTCTCCGCGCCCCCAGCGCCCCAGTGGGACCTCCGCCCCGTGCCCCCTCCGCTCCGAGCCCTTTATTCCGCGTCGCGACGCGCGCCGCCTCCCTCCTCACCCCCTCCCCCCATACCTGGGATTTGGGGCCCCGTTGCTGGCCCCCCGAGGGGCGACGTCTTGCCACCTCTTCCCCCCTCCTCCTCCGCCTCCTCCTCCTCCTCCTCCTCCTCCTCCTCCTCCCCTTCTCTTTTTGTGCAAGAGCCACGGCACGCGTGCCACTTGTTACTTCGTACTGCCAATGTGCAAATGTCCCGAAGTGGCGCGAATCGGAATTGGCGCTGAGACGAGCACATCGATCACAATACACTTTGCCTCGTATCCAAAGTGCACCTACCGTCAAACCAAAGTTGCTGCCCACTCAAAATGAAGAACAGGGGTGCTGCCTTCTTCTGCCCCCACTGGATCCGAGTATCAAGATACATATCGGTCAAGGCGAAGCCTTTCATCTCGTCGGGCTTGTATTTCGACGTGATCTCCACCTGCTGTTCTGGAGGGTCAGGTGCTGGTGACGCGAATGCCACACAGAATAACACGGCCAAACATCTCTGCAATGCAGTAGCCATCGCGACAAGCCGTCCAGACACCAAGTGGGCCGAAATGGGACGCACTGCCAGCAGCATTGGGCCAACATTGTTTGGAAGCGGCGGTGCAGGCCGCCCAAAGTATCCTTCTTTTCATGACTGCGCGCCTCCGTGGGATAAGCTCAGTTGATATAGTACAACGCGCCCACCGTGTGTCTGTCGAGAAACAACCGTGTGATTCCAATGGTGAACCCAGACAATGAGCTACAGTCTTTGGGGATGCAAACTACGTTGTGCTAGCTGTGAGGCACATTAGGTGTATGGTGCGACAAGAGCGGTGCAATCCATGCAGTGCCGTGATGGGGTGCCATCTGTGCGATATAAGCCATGGTGACAATTTCAAGCTGTGCAATCTGTGGGGTGCAAGCAGTGGGCGCAGCCTCTGGCCATCGCAGATTCCTGGGTCAGCATGCGCAACCCATGGCGGACACCATGGGCGCGACCTATGGCCACGGAAGATTCCCATGTCAACGTGCGTAATCCGAGGGCGTCACTTCTGGCGCAACCCATGGGAGCACCACATGTCCATCACAACTTTCCCTGGCTCGCATGGGCAGCTTATGGTGGGCAGCATAGGCGCAACCTGTGGCTACGGAAGATTCCCATGTCAACGTGCGTAAACCGAGGGCGTCACCTGTGGCGCAACCCATGGGAGCACCATATGTCCACCACATTTTTCCCTGGCTCGCATGCGCAGCTTATGATGGTGGACAACATAGGCGCAACCTATGGCTATGGAAGGTTCCTTGGCCAGCATGCGCAATCCATCTGTGCAAGATTTGGCACAATACATAGGCTCAACATATGGGCACTACAAACTCTCGGACAACATGCGAAACCCATGGCGGACACCATGGGTGCAACCTGTGACTACGTAGTAGTCCTTGATCAACACGCGCAACCCTTGGGTGCAACCTATAGCGCATCTTGTCGGCGCAAACTATGGCCGCCACAAGTCGTCACTACAGAAATAGCATCTCGCCTGCTTCCTAACGATAATGTGCTGCCTTGTTGCTACCGTGCCCCTTTTTTCCTGCAGATCTCCGCACCTGTTGGCATGGTCAGTTCGGCCTGGTGGAATCTCTACTGATGGACACACGAACACATCGCTGGCTCAGAGCTCTGCGCCGTTTTTTTTGTCTAAGACAGGCGGGGGAGGGCGACGAAAATTGGGGCAACCGGCGGCAGCTTGTGTGCCCTGGGCCCCGTGGGCAGCCCTCCTGGCTCTGCCGCCGCGCCAGGCGAGAGGCGATGATGCCGACGGTGAGAAGGAGGAGGGAAAGGAGGAGGAGGAGGAGGAGGAGGAGGAGGAGGAGGAGGAGGAGGAGGAGGAGGAGGAGGAGGAGGAGGGGGAGGAGGAGGAGGAGGACGAGGAGGAGGAGGAGGAGGAGGAGGAGGAGGAGGAGGAGGAGGAGGAGGAGGAGGAAGGTGTTCGGCGCCGTCGGCGCAAGCGCCGCGTCTTGGAGAGGATATGGTGACGAGGAGGATGGGAATGTGCCGCCCCGCCCACTCAAGGTCGCCCGCTCCCGCTCCCCCCAGTGCCGCGTGGCCCGAGACGTCGTGGAACCGCACGAGCCTGAGCAATGCCTCGACGTTGCCGGTCTCCCGCCTCTCTTCGATGCTGGCCACGCCGCGGGGACCGCGCAGCGGAGACCTCCTGCGCCTCCCACAGCATCCCCCTCGAGGATGGCGAGGCGGGCCCCGCGACGCAGCGCCTCGCCCCAGAGGGTGTTTCAGGCTCTGGGCGCGCGCCCTCGGCCTCGAGCCTCGACCGCGGCTGCCGCCCGTGCCCGGTTGCGGGAGCGCGTCCTCCCGTGTGTCGGTCTTCTCCGTGGTCTCCCGTATAGTGGGCACAGACTGGGGGCGGCTGACCTGGGTGGTGCTCTGCTGTGCGAGGCGCCGACCACGCCCAGCGAGCACCAACATGGGTCAGACACGTGCACGCCCACACCAGGTTCGTGGTTGCGGTGGTGAAGGATCGGCCAGCGGTCCTCCCTCTTCTCCAGAGCCACGTCCAGAGCCTGCACCTCCGCGCAGCCCGTCTGCGGCGGCGCGCCCGAGAGCCGCTCCAGGGAGGCGACAGGTGCCCGTCGGCATGCCAGGATGAGAAGAGGCACGCAGTCAGCGGAAGGTCGCCAGCTGCGGGCCCCCGGCGGCTGGCTGCGATCCGGCTGCTGCAGGGCGGGCAAGCAAGCGCGCACTCGCCGCCAAACGCAAACACTCGTCGCAGTCGGGCAGCTTCCGTCATGAAAAGGAAGGGGAGGCGGCGGAAGGCGGATGAGAGGGGTCGGAGAACTTGCGCTGGCCATCAGGATCATTCTTGGTCGTATGCGCTGCCACCCTCTTGAAGACTCCCCTTGACAAACTTCATTGCAACAGTGTAGAACTCGTCGTCCCATGGCAGCACGTGGCCTCCGTGCGCACGAGGGTCTCCGATCAAGGAGTGGTGATAGACTGTAGCGCTCACGAACGCCGTGATTAACTCTTCCGAGCGGCACGGTGCTACGACCGTGTCTGTCTTGCCGATGACGTGCAGAGAGGAAAGGTCGAGCGCTGGCTTGGGCGGCCACCACCTCTCAGCCGTCAACGGGTACGGCCGCATGAAGCCTCCACACAGTATGGCGAAGCGCGGCTGCGGGAGCCTGGGCGCCTGCTCTCGCAAGTAGGACGAGAAGATCGCCGCCGTCAGCGCTCCCTGGCTGAACCCGAGGATGCCGTCAAAGCTTTCCGAGGCCCACGCGCTCTCGAGCTCTGCCAGCGAGCGGTCGAAGCCGGCGGCGCCGTGCCAGATGTCGTCCTCCTCCGTCAGGGGCGCCAGGGAGCTCTTGTCCAGAGGGGGCAACTCCGAGTCCATCCTGCGAGGATTCCAGCTTGTGAGATCCGGGCGTCGCTTTTTCCCGACGCAAGCGATCTTGCCGTGTCTTCATGGACCGATCGGGCTCGAAGATGCGGCAGAAAGATGACGTCCAGAGCTCTGGTCGAGCTTGTTCACGCTGCTGCATTTCTTCCGTGACGTCGGATCTCAGGGGCAGTCCGCCCGCCCCGACTCCGCCCGGGCCACTCCCAAGCCCTGGAAACGGCGCAGACGCTCGCCCGGCGCGTGGCCAGAGTGTTTGCGTCGAGCCCGGGCCTGGCGCGAGCCCGGTCACGGTCGGTGGGGCTGGACATCTACCTCGACGCCGGCCGTCGTGAAACACACTTGCTCGTCGGCGGCGGGGCGGAGGCCATCCGCACCGGCGTCGGGCTCATCGGGGGCACCGATGGGCAAATTGTCCGGCCGTCGTGAAAAGCCACGACGTCGCGAAAGAGATCACGGCCAGCTCTCGCGGTCCCGGCCTCCGACCGGGCATCTCTCGAGCCGCCTCGGCCCGCGAAGGCCACGGGGCCCCGAGGCCCGGTGCGAGGACGCTCGCCACGCTTTATATACCTATGACGCCTCGACACGTGGGGGGCCGTGGACCTGTCGACCCCCGGGCCCTGCGCTGGGCTGACTTCTGACGGCTTGGGCGCCCAAACACGGACGGCCCTCAGAGGCCGACCGCCTGCAAATAGGAACTGGCCGCCGTGGTCTGCCTCGCGACGCCTGAGGAGGTCTGGGGTCGTTGGCGAGCCCCCCCCCCGCGTCCCTCGCTCCGACACCAGCTCGGCGAGCCTCCCGAAGCCGACCACCTTGCCCGCCTCGGGAGGCTGTGCCGCTGCCCGCTGCCCGCCAAGCAGTAGGTCGGGCATGTCCCCCCTACAGCGGACTTGGGCAGGAAAGAGAAAACACAGTCAAGCCAAGGTCACAAAATCGTCACCCTATGGTTTTTGTATTATTTTGGACAGTCCTCCTGTAGAGGGCCCTGCCCGACTTGAGGCAGGCCGCGGCTGCCACTGGCCGCCCGGCCGAAGGCGACACACGGGCCGCTGGAGGCCGCGAGCGAGGCCGCTGGAGGCCCCACGATGGCCGCCGGGGGCCTGCTCGCCTGCTGCTGGTCGCCGGCGATCCAGGCAACACCCGTGCCGTCCTGCGTCGGGTTCGGCGCCATGGGGGCCACGATGTCTGCGGCGACACCGTGCGCCTCCTTGGCAGGAGGAGGGTTTGATCGGTTGGCTGGGCGGGGAGTCGGCGCTGCGGGGGCCGGCCTGCATAGGGGGGGGGACGAAGGGGGGGGGCGGGGCATAGAGAGAAGTAAGAACTGACATAAACACAGCCACTCGAGAGTCCGCGCAGATTTCTTGCACCGGCGCCGGACCCCCCTCCCTGGCGCGCGGAGCGCGCCTTGGGCGGCGCCGCTGGGGGGGCCCGAGCGCCGATCCAAGAAATCCGCGCGGAACTCCCAGTTGCTCTGCTTCTGTCGTCGTTTGGTTCTCCAGGAAAGGTTGTGTGTGTGTGTGTGTGCGTGGGGGTCCGCTGCAGTTTTCGCTTGGATTTGCAGCTCCTCTTCACACCCATCGCTGCATTGACAGTGTGCACGCTTTGTACACTCTGTCTTCGACAATGTCCGATCGCAATTCGCACTTCCATCTGCTGCTCGCGTCTGAGGATCCTCAGCGCCGCTGACTTGAAGTGGTGGGGGGTAGCGAATCAGCTCCATGCAGCAGCTCTTCCTGGCGCCCTGGGGCGCCAGAGGCTGCTGCGCACCGAATTGTGCCTGGCGGCGAGCCTGGGGCAGCGGCACGCAGCAGATTTCGTATGGTGGTGATGATGGTCATTATTATGATGGTGATGATGATGATGCTGCTGCTGCTAATGATGATGATGATGATGATGATGATGATGATGTTGATGATGATGATGATGATGATGATGATATTGTTGATGATAATGATGATGATGATTAAGGAGATGCTGATGATTTTGATGTTGATGGTCATGGTGATGATGTCGATGATGTCATTGATGATGATGACGGTGATGATGATGATAATGATGATGATAACGACGGTAATGATGATGATGATGATGATGATGATGATGATGATGATGATGATGATGATATTGTTGTTGATGATGATGATGATGATGATGATTAAGGTGATGCTGATGATTTTGATGTTGGTGGTCATGGTGATGATGTCGATGATGTCATTGATGATGATGACGGTGATGATGATGATGATGATGATGATGATGATGTTAATGATGATAATGATGATGTTAACGACGGTAATGATGATGATGGTGATGATGATGATGATGATGACGGTGGTGGTGATGATAACTGTGATGATGATGCTGCTGCTGATGATGATGATGATGTTGATGACGATGATGGTGATGGTGATGATGACGAAGATGCTGATGACGGTGATGATGACTGTGGTGATGCTGATGATGATGGTGGTGATGCTGATGATGCTGATGATGTCGGTGATGGTGATGATGATAATGATGGTGGTGGTGGTGATGATGATGCTGATGACGAGGAGGACCAGTGTAAACCCACGACGCCTCAACGATGTTGAAATACACTCTCTTTTCAAGATCCTTCTTCATAGGACTCTACAAGGGGTCATTTCTACTGAGGGAATTGCCCCGTTGGTGGACCACCGTGTGAACATCTTGAAATGTGCCAGAACACCATTCTCAAGACTTCAACGAACCGAGTGAAACTGACTATTACGTCCAGGCGGTCGTAAATCGGGCCGAAACACCATTCCAGGGACTTTAACATCGTCGATCAGCGTAACTGTTGCGCCCTGACAATCCTGAGTCGTTCCGAAAACCACTCCTGGTACGTTAAACATCAGAACCAGTGAAGCTCTTGCACTGTCTTGAAGAGTATGTGCGCGGCGTCAAAGTGAAAATCCGCCGACCCCTTGGGGATCATCGGCGTGTGAGATGCTTCCCCCTCCCCAAACCCCTCCCCCGGGAGCCCGGTCCGGTCGATTTGGAGGGGGGGGGGGGTCCGGGACGAGCGGTTCACGGAGCTTTTCCTGGCCCAAGAGGGCTTCAAGACGGGCCACGAAGCCCCCAAGAGGCCTCCAAGACGGCCCACGAAGGCTCCGAGAAGCCAAACGACCTCTCCAAGACGCCCACGATGGCCCCAAGACGGGCCAAGAGGTCTCCAAGACGGCCCCTGAGGTCCCAAATGAGCCTCCCAAGAGGGCCCAAAGAGTCAAAAATTGCTGATTTTCCAGAGTGTTTTTCTATGTTTTTTGCTTTTCCGCCTTTCCGGCTTCCCGACGCTCCAAGACGGGCAAAGAGGCCCCAAAGATAGCCCCAAGATGGCCCAAGAGGCCCCCAAGACGGCCTCCAGACGGCCCAAGACGGCCCCAAGACGGCCCAAGAGGTCCCCAAGACGGCCCAAGAGGGCCGATTTGGAGGGGGGGAGGGGGCCGGGACGAGCGCAGCACGGCCGGGACGAGCGGTTCCAGGGCTTTTCCGGGCCCAAGAGGGCCTCAAGACGGGCCAAGAAGGCTCCAAGAGGCCTCCAAGACGGCCCACGAAGGCTCCGAGACGCCAAACGACCCCTCCAAGACGCCCAAGATGGCCCCAAGACGGGCCAAGAGGTCTCCAAGGCGGCCCCCGAGGTCCCATACAAGTCTCCCAAGAAGGCCCCAAGAGTCTAAAATTGTTGATTTTCCATAGTGTTCTTCGACGTTTTTTGCTTTTCCGCCTTTCCGGCTTCCCAACGCTCCAAGACGCGCGACGAGGCCCCAAAGATAGCCCCAAGATGGCCCAAGAGGCCCCCAAGACGGCCTCCAGACGGCCCAGGACGGCCCCAAGACGGCCCAAGAGGTCCTCAAGACGGCCCAAGAGGGCCGATTTGGAGGTGGGGAGGGGGCCAGGACGAGCGCAGCACGGCCGGGACGAGCGGTTCCAGGGCTTTTCCGGGCCCAAGAGGGCCTCAAGACGGGCCAAGAAGGCTCCAAGAGGCCTCCAAGACGGCCCCCGGGAGCCCGGTCCGGTCGATTTGGAGGGGGGGGGGGGTCCGGGACGAGCGGTTCACGGAGCTTTTCCGGGCCCAAGAGGGCCTCAAGACGGGCCAAGAAGCCCCCAAGAGGCCTCCAAGACGGCCCACGAAGGCCCCGAGACGCCAAACGACCGTTCCAAGACGCCCAAGATGGCCCCAAGACGGGCCAAGAGGTCTCCAAGACGGCCCCCGAGGTCCCAAACAAGCCTCCCAAGAGGGCCCCAAGAGTCTAAAATTGTTGATTTTCCATAGTGTTTTTCGATGTGTTTTGCTTTTCCGCCTTTTCGGCTTCCCGACGCTCCAAGACGGCCAAAGAGGCCCCAAAGACAGCCCCAAGATGGCCCAAGAGGCCCCCAAGACGGCCTCCAGACGGCCCAAGACGGCCCCAACACGGCCCAAGAGGTCCCCAAGACGGCCCAAGAGGGCTCCAAGACGGCACCACGAGGGGCCCAAGAGGGCGACCAAACATGTTGAAACTCTAGCTTTCTGCCCCCAGGAGCCCCAGGGGGCCCCAAGAGTGCCCCAAGAGGCCCCCAGAGGCCCTCACGAGGCCGCCCAGACGCCCCAAGGAACCCCCAAGAAGCACCCCAGAGGCTCCGAAACGGCCCCCGAGTGGCTCCCAAACTCGCAGTGTCGCTGTCCGCTCGGACCTCCCCGCGGAACTGCCCGAGACCCTCTGGCGGTGGCGGCGAACAGACACCAAACAAATATCACTCGCCTTTTCACCCCTTCGCAGCTTCTACTACAAGGGGTCGGCGGTGTGGCGTAAGCCTAAGAATCACATTTTGAAAACGAACCGCCCTCATTCTGTGAAGCTCTTACGCACTTTTTAAACGAATGTGCGCGGTGCTAAGGAGAGAACCACACTTTGAAAACCACCCGCCCTCCATCTGTGAACCGTTGCCAATTTTTCAGCACCAGGGTCGAAGAAATCGCAGGCGAACCGCCTGGCCCGCCCTTTCGACTGGCCGCTGGATGCGGCAGGGAGGAGCTATCCACAAGGAGAAGGAATGGATGACTAGGAGGAGTAGGAGGAGGAGGAGGAGGAGGAGGAGGAGGAGGAGAAGGAGGAGGAGAAATGGGAGGAGGAGGAGGAGGAGGAGGGAGGAGGAGGAGGAGAGGAGGAGGAGGAGGAGGAGGAGAGGAGGAGGAGCGGAGGAGGAGGAGGAGGAGGAGGAGGAGGAGGATGGAAAGGGGGAGCAAAGCACAGCAGCAAGGCGAGGTGGAGCAGGCGCGGGGCGAGGAGCTCGGCAGGCTCGGCTCCAGGCCCGCGCGCAGGGCCGCCAGCGGGTCGACGCCCGCCCTGCAGCCGATGGTGCCGGGGTAGCCGTGCAGGGCGAGGATGCGCGCCCGGGCGGCGGTGGCCATGCTGGGAGGGCCAGGGGCCTCCCCAGGAGTGACGGGGGGGCACGCAGCGGCCTCCCAGATGGGGTCCAGGCCGATGGGGTCGCAGGGCCGCGCCGCATCGCCCATGCCTCGGCGGTGCATCGGCGACGTCGGCGTGGAGGAAGATCGGGCTCCGCATCGAGCCGCATCGCCGATGCATCGGCGAGGCGGCACGATCCTTCGACCCCGTCTGCTCGGACCCCGTCTGCGAGGCCTCGAGAGCGCCAGGGGGGGACCGGCGGGGGGGGGAACGTTGCGGGGCGGATGGTGCAGCCTGGAGCGATCGTGGCTTTCCCATGGCGCAGGCCGCTCGCTCTCGGCCGACTCTGGGCCACCCGCGGCGTTGAACCTCGAACGCCGCGCCCAGGCCGCCACTGCGCCAGTGCGGCACGAACCCGCGGCACTCCCCTCGGCTACGGGCAAGAGAGGCCCTGGGCAAGAGGGACCTGTCGTGCGCGGCCCAGAGGGGGCCAGCGGCGCACACGAGAGGGTGGAGGGAGGGGGGAGGGCTTCTTAGAAGGAGGGGGAGGGCTTCTTAGAAGGAGGCTGCTTCTTAGAAGGCGCCGGCCTTACATCTATAGATAATTAAGGCCCGGGCCTTCTAAGAACCAGGGGTGCTTCTAAGCCCTCCCCCCTACCCCCCCCTTCTTGCGCGTGGCCGAGGGGAGCCCTTCTCGGGACACCGCCAGGCGCGGAAGCCGCTGCTCTTGCATCGCGTTCGGCGATCGGGGGGCCCCCTTGGGCCCGCAGCACAAAGGTCACTCTGGCCAAAGGTCATTCCCGCGTGTCGTCGACCTTCCCCCCCCCCCTGCAGGGGGAACGTCAGGGGGGACCAGCTCAGGGAGGGGGAAGCATCGGTCTAGACTCGGCGATGCCCCGCCGATGGGGAGCGGCGACAGGCCCGCGACAGCGAAACCGAACGGTCCTGGGCGGGGTAGGCGATCGGGCCCCCATCGGCGACGAGTGGGCGAAGGGGGGTCGATGCGTCCCCCCCTGAGCCCGGCCATCGGCTACACGTCAGAATGACCCGGCAAGAGTGACCTTTGGTGCGCGGCTTAACAGGGAACGCGGGGTGGCCCAACCCGGGCGCGCAAGCCGCTGCTGCAGTCTCGCGTCCGGCGATCGGGGGGCCCCCTTGCTCGGAGTCCCGAAACGGTGCGGTGACAGACCGTGCGGTGACCTCGAAATCCCCCAAGAACTCACCGCACGGTCCGTCAACGCACGGTTTTGGAACCTCGGATGCCCCAGTCGCCCGAGACGTCCTCGGAGAACGACCCGAGTCCCAAAACCGTGCGGTGACCCCGAATCCCCACCGACTCACCGCACGGTGTGGTCACCACCCCGTTTGGGGACCCCCGACATTGGGCCCGCAGCAAAGGTCACTCCGGCGAATGGTCACTCTTAGGTCTAGTCGAATCCACCCCTGGCCTTGCCCCTGACAAGAGGCGCCCGGGCTTCTGGCGGATTGCTTCTCTGAATCCTGCCGCGCTGCTCTGACAATTGGTGGCCTCTGGGGGCCGCTGTCGGGGGCGGGGGGCCATCCAAGAATGTGTCCGGCATGAGAAGCTACTCCAGATTTCGTAATAAAGGGAGGGGGGTCTCATTTCGGGAGGGGGGTCTCTTCCAGGCTATCTTGGAGGGCCTGGGGGGGTCTGGGGACGATGTTTGGAGGGTTCTCCCACGGGGGGGGGGTCTGAAATGGCTTGTCTTGGAGGGTCCAGACCCCCTCTCTTTTATTATGAAATCTGGAGTCCCCCCAGAGAAGGGGGTCAAGATCACTGGGAGCCGCGGGTTGAAACATCAACCCGTCGGCTGCCTGAGAGGGCGCCCACAGGCACGAAGGCCCGTGGCGAAGGTCACTCTTCGGAGTGGCTCCCCCAGCCGTGCGAAAAGGAGCGGTCGGACAGTAGTCACCAGCGCTGCCAGGACTGGAGTGGTGGAGAGAAGAGGCGAACGGGGGTCGTCTTCCCTTTTTCCTATTCCTCCTCATCCCCCCCTCCCTCCCTCCCCCGGATCCTTCTCCTCCGCCTGCTCCTCCTCTCTGGTCATGCTCCCGCTTCTCTCCCACCTCCCCGCGCGCACGCGCGCGGGAGTGCGCCTCGGGGAGGGAGGCGAGGGGCTGAGGGCTGGGGGAGGGCGGAGAAGGGGGGGGAGACAGGGGGGGAGAGCAGAGAGGAGGAGGGAGGAGGGAGGAGGAAGGAGGAGGAGGGAGGAGGAGGAGGGAGGAGGAGGGAGGAGGGAGGAGGATGAGGAGGAGGGAGGAGGGAGGAGGGAGGAGGGAGAAGGGAGGAGGGAGGAGGGGGGAGGGCAGAGGGCGGAGCGAGCGAGGTTGGCGGACGGACTTTCCACGACTTTCCCCGAAGACGACGTCCCACTCCTCTCCTGCGGGCCTGCTGGCGGTGGGCGCAAGCCTCATCTCAGGCCTCGTCGCCACCCTCGAGAGGGGTCCCGTTTCTCTCCCTGGACGTGGCCCCCGAGTCGTAGTCGAGCGGGGAAGGGGTGCAGGGGGGGTAGGTTCTGGCAGCGCAAGGGTGCGTCGAGCGGGTCGCTGAGAGCGAGAGGCAGATCAGAGTCGAAGGCATCAGCCCTGGCCCTCCGCGCGCCAGATCGATGCCCCGACACTACACCAGGGAAGTCGCAGGTGGGTGCGTGGGAAGAGGCTGCTGCTCTTTATTGAGCATTACCACCTGTCGCAAGTGGACTTGCATCGAAGCCTGGACGAACCGCTGGACGCCGACAAACGGCAACCAAGGCCACAATCCAAGTGCAACGAAAAGGACCTGGGGAGCATGGGAGGGCCTGGAACGTGAGCTGCAGGACCTGGGGAGGGAGGCGAGGACTGGGCGGACCGGACGGCGGCCGCGGCCAGCAGACTGAAGCAATGAACATGACAGCGCGGGAGGAGCGCGCTTCGCACGCTGAGAGCAGGCGCCCCGCCCCCCCGCGAGGACGGGGTGGCATCACTGGAATGGGGCGCCCCAGCGCCTCGAGCCGCGCCGCCACCCACCGCGCAGCCGAGCAGCACCAGTGCCGCTCTGCGTCCCCCCCGCAGCCCGACCTGGGCACGACTCCGCGCGGGGCCGGGGAAGCGGCTCGAGGGCAGAGTGCGCCCCCTGGTAGATCCGAAGGCCAGTCGAGCAGCCTGCCGAGCTCATGCGTAGTGTGCTCAGGCCTTCGAAGCCGTCTCGCGGCGGCCGGCCGCGGCTCGGGCGAGCAGTGCCAGCGGCCGCCCAGTGACCAATGGGGGTCGAGGAAGGTGGAAGCAAAAGGGGCAGGAGGACAGAGTGCCAGGAGCCGGCCATCGGCCAGGCGGGCAGGACGCGTGCTGGGCAGCAGGAGCCCTGGAAGCACACTTCGAGGCCATGTTTCGCCGTGATATCTGGCTGTGCTGCACATAACTGCCAGAGCTGGGCGATACCAAACGTTGGCGCTGTAATACCCGCCGTCCGGCTGACCTGTTGGCACCGAGTGGCTGCCCGAAGCTGGTGCCACGAATGGGGCCCCGGCTGAGGCAGCCTGGGAGCCGATGAGGCCCCAGCCATGCAGAGCCGAGGAGGCCCGAGGCAGGCAGGAGCGGGGGGCAGGGGGGAGAGGCGAGAGGAGGGGGCGAGCCAGGTGCGTTCGTGCCGCATCCAACATCCTACGCCTCCCACCCATCCCCTGCCATGGCGCCGATGTCTGTCTCCAGCCGCCAGCGGGTGCCATGGCGGATCCGGAACTCCTCCCCCAAAACCACATCGTGCTGTGCGCAATCGGAAAAAGAGGGGAGCTGGGCACACGGGAGCAGAGGTGGCGGATGAGCAGGAGGATGAGCAGGAGGCCAATGAGGAGGATGAGGAAAAAGGAGGACGAGGACGAAGGGCAGCAGCAGCAGGAGCTCGAATCGAAGGACCAGGAGGAAGTGTAGGACCAGGAGGAGGACCAAGGGGAGGCGGGGAAAGGAGGGGGCGATACCGATGGGGAACGACTTGGATCCAGAAAAGTGACCCACGCAGGGGCAAGAGCGCCATTCGAAACGACGGGAGCAAAGTGCCGACCTGAAAACGAGGCCCACGCTGCAGCGGGAGAGCCACTTTGAAACACCAAGAACGTTCGCTTCAACAGAAGCTATCGAACATAACATTGTTTGCCATCCGGTATACAGAAAGCAATACGCGGAGAGGGCGGGACAACTTCCGCACAGAGTCAGAGGAGACGGGACAGAAATATTCATATCAAGCTAGGCGCACTGGCGTCATATCTGACGTCCTACCCCTCCCATACCTTACCATCGCAAATAGCCCCTCTCTATTCGCGCATTCGGTTACGGAGTAGGACAATGACCCTCATATCATGGCGTAGGAGAGTACGACAGAGCGTGAACTGGCATAGCATAGTGTGATACTTCACTCCAACCCATTGCATATCATTGCATTGTTGCGCAAGGCATGGTATCGCTTTACACCAGATAGCATTGCATTGATTGCATGCCATGGCACGTATCAATATAGTATGGTATGGCACTGCGTAGCCCAACATATCATATCGCAGCATTGCGTAGCAAGGCGTGTAATGTCATAATAGCGGTGCATCATATAACACTGAATTACATGCCATGCCTGCGTGAACGGTGTAGCCAAAAACCATACTGGAGGGCCGACAATTTGGAGATCAGGCCGATGCTGCAGCGGGAATCGCATCTTGAAGGACCGTAAACGTGGAAAGGAGGCCACCCCTACAGCGGGAACATCATGCAGAAGGACCGAAAAAAGGGGAAATGCGACCAGCGCTGCAGTGGGAGTACGATTTGGAAAGAACATGAACGTGCGAATTAGGCCAGCGCTGCAGAAGGAACGCCAATTTGAAGGACCGAAAACGATCGGATGGGAATCTTGTGTCTGTGTGTGTGACAAAAAAAACACACGCACACACGCGGAGAGGGGGGACATCTTCTGGACAGAGTCAGTGGCGAGAGGAGTGTAGTATTCATACGGTGTAATTGGGGGATGCGGGGGGGGAAAAGACGGAGGCGGAAGGGAGCAGGAGATGACAGCAGAGGGTGGGCTGAGTGGAGGCGGAGGCGAGGGTCGGAGGGATGGCGAGAGGCAAGGGGGGGATCAGCGGGGAGAGGGGTGGCAACAGGAGGGCCGCCTTCCTCCTAACTCCTGGCTTCTCCTCCTGCCGCTTGCCCGACCATGCAGGCACACGTCCGATGTGCGACCACAACAATGAAGAGGAGGTCGAGACGGAGATGAGTGGGGTAAAATTGCTGCTCCTCCACCTCCACCTCCACCTTCACCTCCTCCTCCGTCTTGGCTCCCTCCCCCCCTCCTCGTCCCCTCCAAACCTTCTTCACCTCTTTCCTTCTCTCCTCCTCTTCCTCCTCGTCCTCCTCCGTCTCCTCCTCCTCCTCCTCCTCCTCTTCATCCTCCTCCTCCTCTCTGGAAGAGGCAGGCGGCACGAGCGCCAACTTTTGCACCGGTGCAACCAAAGAGATTATAGGTCTGGTGCCGTCCTGCTACCGATCGCCTTCTAACCTATGCTTTGAGCCATGCGCGGGCCGGGACGTTCGATGCACCTCTCCGTCGATCCCCCTCCCCAGCCGGCCTCCTCTTCTTCCCTCCTCCCATACCTCCATCCCTTCTCATACTCCTCTTTTTGTTTGTATCTTCTTCTTCTTCTTCTTTCTCCCCTCCTTCCTCCTCATTTCATTCCTCCTCAAGCTTCTCTTCCGCCTCCTCTTCCTCCTTCCCGTCCTCATCCTCCTCCTTCTCATCCATCTCCTCTTCCTTCTCCTCTTCTTTCCCGTCCTCTCCCTCCTCCTCGTTCTCCTCCTCTTTCTCATCCTCCTTATTCCACTCCTCTCCTCATCCTCTTTCTTATCCTTCTTTTTCTTCTCTCTGCCTTCTCCTCTTTCTTCTTATTACCATCCTCTCTGCCCACCTCTCCAGCCCCAGAAGAGTCCCGTCCTGCTCAAGCTCCTCCGCTCCGACGGAGCCTGCCCCCCCCCCAGAAGCGAAGAGGAGACAACTGAAGGGGCCCAGGGACACACACAAATAAATAGACACACGTCCCAAAATTCCCCATCTGTCATTTCTTCTGAATTTTTGTCTTCCGCTCCACTTCCCATATTTTCGTGGGTATCGACGTTTATTTGTGTCAGCATCTATTTTTTTTGTCCCGGACAGCCACAGCCGCTGGGCTGAGGACACCGCCCCTGGCGCCCTCCGAGGGACGACCCCGACCCCTCAGCGGTGGACCTGCACGCAGCGCCCGTTTTCGAATGCCGCGCGCAAGTCATCACCGCTGGGGAGGTTTGAGGTCGGTCATGGGCGGGCGGCAGGACGGTTCTCTCAGCCCAGCGATTGTACTTTTCTTCGCCCATGGTCCCCTGCCCCCCCACTCCCCTCACACAGGAGCCCGCTGGACCATCCGACGTGAAGGAAGCAACAAACAAGACGTCGACCATGAAGTGAGCTCTCGACCCCATCTTCTTGCATCATCCTCCGAGCCAGATAGACCCGTGGGCCAGAAACAAAAGGCACGGGCGACAATAGAACCTCCTTCGCGACGACCCGACATACATCGTTACTTTTGCACCACTTGACCCTCCGAAACCTCTCGATCTCCTATCCTGACAACGTCTTTTCGCTGCGTGTTGTTTCTTGATTGCGCTGGGTACCGGACACGGCCCCGCAAGAAGCCCAACCCGCGAGAAGGCCGGCCGCCTTTTTTTAACGTGTTTGTTTTTGTTGTTGTTGTTGTTGTCGTTGTTGTTGTGGTTGTTGTTGGTGGTGTTGTTTGTTGTTGTTGTTGTTGTTGTTGTTGTTGTTGTTGTTGTTGTTGGTTGTTGTGGTTGTTGCTGCTGTTGTTGTTGCAGTTGTTGTTTTTGTTGTTTTTGTTGTTAGTGCTTTGTTGTTGTTTTTGTGATTCTTTTTGTTTTTTGTTGTTGTGA